GGCCCTGCCGCCCGGTCCCGTCTAGGTGGGAGGCCGGTCATGGGGCGGTGCCGCCGGTTGGTCGGAAGGAGCAGAGCTCACGAGGTTCTTGCGCTGCGTCTGCTGGGCGCGGGCCGCAGACGAGGGAGGGCGGGGTCCCGGTCGCTGGGGAGAACCGCGGGTGAGGCGGATAAACGGGGTGCGGGGCCCAGGCTCTGGAGGCGGGGGCGTCGCTGAGATGCGCTGACAGGCGGAGCCCCGACTCCCTGCTGCGGGCTCCGGGGTGCTTAGAGGGGGTTTCGAGCGTCAGCATGTCTGGTGGCAAAGGTCAGGGGCACGGGGTCATTTTTGAGGGTCACTGCGCTTGGCACGGAGGCCGTCAGGACTGGGCTTTAGGGAAGGTCGAGTGGGGAGAGGACGTTGTGGCTGCGGAGGGGCGGCACCGAGGTGGAAAGGGGTCGTGGGCACCGGAGATTCACGCGCTCCCGGGAGGCTGATACTGAGCCAGGCCAGAGGTATAGAGGAGGCCTCCAGAGCAGCATCTCCCCAAGGGCGCAGCTGTGGGCGTGCAGCTGGGCAGTGACGGTGGGGGAGAGACAGTCTACAGAATGATGTGCGAATGGGGAGGAAGTTAGGGTCCCAGGGCCCTAGGGTTGGGGGCGGAAAGGTGACGCGAGAGCCTACCCTTGGCTGTGTCTTGTCACGGCCTGGAGACCCCAAGGGAATTAGTGACAGGATGGATGGGACTCGACAAGCCAGGACTAGAATTGGGTTACAAGGGCAGGACATAATGAGTAAAGGGACCCTGAGGGTAGAGTGGGCATCAGTGGCACCTGGGTATGGAATTCCCCGAGGTGGGGAGCTTTGGGGGAGGGTGAGTGTGGGGTAGATGTGTGGGGAGATGGATTGTGGTGCTCAGAGACCAAATGCTCATGGTTTTTCCTCTGTCCCCATTATAACAGGCCAGTGTGACTTTTGGGGACGTTGCTGTGCACTTCTCCTGGGAGGAGTGGAGGCTGCTTGATGAGGCTCAGAGACGCCTGTACCTTCGTGTAATGCTGGAGAACTTTGCACTTATATCCTCTCTGGGTAAGACTCACAGCCTCACCAGTGACTTGGACTAGGCTCTACTTCCTCCACCCTGACTTCTCTCTCTGTCCTCAGGTGTGGACCACAGGCACTGCTTGCTTCCCCGGTTGTCTGGGTAGTTGCTGTATTGCTAGAGCTGGTTGGTTTGCACTGCTCTCTTCTCTCCCCTGCATTCCCATTACCGAATCCTTTTAGGAAGGGGTTCAAGGTCAGTTGTATTGCATTTAGTTTAATGGATTCACCATGCTTGCCCTCTCAGTGTCTGGGTTAATGTGTCCAGATCCACATCTCTTCTTACCCCAGGGTTGGATCCCTTCTTTTAACTCATTTCCTCCTGTCTACCTGTGCCAGGAGTTGCAGGTGTTGTCATGGTCGTTACTTGTATGAATCATGGGCTTTTTTTTAACACTCTCTTGCAGGGTGCGTAGTGTTTAGATCTCTTTTCCTTTTTTTTCCCCCTAGCCTTGTTGAGATACAAGCTTCTATATATTAAAGTTTATGGTGTGTTGATTTTATATATGTATATGTGTATATATATATACACATATGGATATATAGTGAAATAATTGCCACAGTGAAGTTACTTAAACATCCATCAACATATAATAAAGTTGCCTGATTATTTTAAGGTAAACTCTCAATAAATTTCAAGTATAACATTATTAACTATAGTCATCACGGTCCTAATTACATTCTCAGAACCCACTCATCTTATAAAGGGAAGTTTGTACCTTATGACCAACAGGTTCCCACTTTCCACTGCACCCCGGGCCCTGGCATTCTACTCTTTTTCTATTATTTTGACCTTTTTTTTTTTACATTCCAACCATAGTGTACAAAGGTTCCATTACGTTTACACCTGCACCAACACTTATGTCTGCTCTTTTGATGATAGTCATCGTATTAGGTGAGAGGTGATATCATTGTACTTCTGATTTGCATTTTCTGATGATTAGTGAGGAAGATTTGTGTGTGGGGGGGTTGGGAGGTCTACTGAAATCCTGAACATTTTTTATGTAACTCTTGGCCAATTTTAGATCTTTGATGAAATGTTTATTGACTGTTTCTGCCAATTTTTAAAAATGCCCCCCCCCCAATTGATTTGAAAAAGAGAGGAAAAGAGAGAGAAACGTCAGTTGGCTCCCTCCTGCACAACCCCCAATGGGGATCCAGCCCACAACCCAGGCATGTGCTCTGACTGGAAACCAAACTGGTGATCTCCTGGGCTGTGGGACGACGCTCAACCAACTGAGCCATATTGGCCAGTGCTTCCCATTTTTAAATTGGAATGTTCTTTTTTAATTGAGTTGTAAGAACACCTTATATATTTTATATATTTATCCCTTATGACACAGCCTATACTAATATTTCCTTACTTTTCATTTTGTTGATTGCTTTCTTGCTATGTAGATGCTTTTTAATTTGATGTAGCCGGGTCATTTATTTTTGCCTTTGTTGTCTGCCTTTGGTGTCATCCAAAAAATCATTGTCAGAACCAATGTCAAGGAACTTTTTTTCCCCCCAAGGAGTTTTACATTTTCATGTGTTATATTTAAGGTTTTGATGCATTTGGAATTAATTTTTGTGAGTGGTTTCAGGTAGGGCCCCAGTTTCTTTTCTTCCAGGTGTATATCCAGTTTTCTCAACACTATTTATTTTTCATTTATTGATCTTTAGAGACAGAGAGGGAAGGAAGAGAGAGAGAAACATCAGTTTATTGTTGAACTTATTTATGCACTCATTGGTTGATCCTTTTATGTGCCCTGACCAGCAATAGCACCAAAAACCTTGGCTTATCGGGATCATGCTCTAACCAGCTGAGCTTCCTGGCCAGGATCCAACACTGTTTATTGAAGAAACCTTTTCCCCCCATTATGTGTTCTTGGTGTCCTTGTCAAAGAGTACTTGACCATATATGTGGGTATATTTCTGGCCTATCTTCTGTTTCTTAGATGTGTGGTCTATGTGTCTATTTGCGTTAGTTTTGGTTACTTTGTTTTGTAGTATGATTTAATCATGAAGTGTAATGCCTCTAACTCTACCATAGATCTTGTTTATCAAATTGCTGCCCTAGCTGGTTTGGCTCAGCCTTTAGAGCATCAGCCTGTGGACTGTAGGGTCCCAGGTATGATTCTGGCCAAGGGCACATACCTTGGTTGCAGGCTCTATCCCTGGCCCTGGTCAGGGTGCGTGTGGGAGGCAACCAATTGATGTGTCTCTTTCATATCGATGTTTCTGTCTCTGTCTCCCTTCTACTCTCTCTGAAAAGCAATGGAAAAAATATCCTTGGTTGAAGGTTAAAAAAAATTGCTTTGACTGTTAGAGATTATTTGTGGTTTGAATTTTAGGACTTGTTTTCTATTTCTGGTAAAAATTCCGTTGGATTTTGGTAGAGAGTGCACGGAATGATTATGTTGGTTTGGTTAATAGAGATATTTTAACAATAATAATTCTTCCAATCCAAGAACACAGGCTGTCTTTTCATTAATTTGTATCTTCAGTTCATCAGTTGTCTTACAGTTTTCACAGTCTAGATGTTTCACCTTCTTAATTAAATTTATTCCAAAGTATTTTATTGTTTTTAGTGGTATTATAAGTGAAATTGATTTCTTAATTTCTTATTGAGATATTTTGTTAGTATATAGATGCAACTGACTTTTGTATGTGAATTTGGAATTCTGCAAATTTATTGGGCTTGTTTATTCCTGCTGGAGGTTTTTTTGTTTTGTTTTTGTGTGTGTGGAGTTTTTAGGATTTTCTTTATATAAGATAGTATCATCAATTGCAAACACAGGCAGTTTTACTTCTTTTCATTTGGATATCTTTCATTTCTCTTTCCTGCCTTATTATTTATGCTAGAACTTCCAGTACTATTTTGAAAAGCCATGGTGAGGGCGTGCATTCTTCACTTGTTCCTGATCTTGGAGAAAAAGTGTTTACCTTTTCACTGTTGAATATATAGGTAGCTGTGGCCTTGTCATATATGGCCTTTCTGATATTGAAGTACATACCTTCTACAGCTAATATTTTGTATGTTTTCATCATGAAAGTATTCTGTATTTTGTTAAATGCTTTTTCTGCATCTATTGATAAGACCATAAGATTTTTTTTAACCTTTATTCTGTTAATGTGGTATGGCACATTTATTGATTTATGATGAACCATCCTTGCATTCAAGGGATAAATGCCATGTGATCACAGTTTATAATTCTTTTCTCATGCTGTTGAATTTTTGTTAGTAATTTGCTTAGGGTTTTGTTGTTGTTGTTTTACATCTGTGTTCATCAGTGATGTTACATTGTAATAATCTTTTCTGGTGTCCTTGTCTGACTTTGGTGTCAGGTTAATGTTGGTCTCCTAAAATGAGTTTGGAAGTTTCTTTTTCTTCAAATGGGAGAGTTTAAAAAGCATTGACATTATTCATTCTTAAAATGTTAATAGACTTCACTAGTGAATCTATCTGGTCATGGCCCTTTTGTTTGTTGGGAAAGTTTTTTACTGATTTCATTTTCTTGTTACTGGTCTTTTCAGATTTTGTTTCTGCATGATTCAGTTTTGGTAGGTTGTATGTTTCTGGCAATTTATTTGTGTCTTCTGGGGTATCTGATTTCTTGGCCTATCTGATTTGATTATGGTCTTCTGAGATCATACTAGTGAGGTTCTGAAAAGCACAGGAAGCCAGAATTCTGGTGCTTAGCTTCGTTGCTCAGCACCTGTGATCCTGGTGTTAAAACCTTTGCCTGTGTAGAACTCCTCTTACCTTTTAGGTACATTGCCCAGTGATACTTGTCCATGCAGAAATGGAGGGGACAGAGGAAGAAGAACCAATGTGCACTGAGGTGCTGTGCTTGATATTTTTAAAATTATTATTATTACTGATTTTTTTTTTTTTAAGGAGAGGGAGAGAGAAAAACATCAATGAGAGAGAAACATCACTAGGCCACCCCCTACTGGGGATCATCCCCACAGCCGGGGTATGTCTCCTGACCGGGATTAGAACCTGAAACTTCTTGGTACATGGAAGGATGCTCAGCCAACTAAGCCACACCAGTCAGGGCTGGAATATCTCTTAATCCATTCACTTTTAGCCTGTGTGTATCTTTCACGCTGAAGTTACTTTGTGGAAGATAACATATAGTTGGGTATTGTTTTTTTATTTCATTCAGCCAATGTCTCTGGCAGGTCTGCCATGGTGTTGGCTGTTGGTTTCCTCAGTGTGGAAGCTGCTAGTATCCTCTGTGGAGCAGGCAGCTGGGATCCATTCCTATAGTTACTCATTCTCCTCTGCTGTGCAAACTGAGGTTCCTCAGCAGGAGCTGTTGATGATCTCTGTGGCAAAGGCTTCTGGGGTCCTTCGCAGAGCAGGACATTGGGAAGGCTGTGGCATCGCCCATGGCTCCTGCTCTTATTTCTTTTCCTTCTCCAGGTGTCTTCACTAAGCTGATGTCCCCAGCAATCCTCTTTGTGTGGTTATTCTCGATTTTATGCTCCACAGTGTTGCTATAGTATCCTAATTGTACTCTTGAGCCCTCCAAGACCCAATTTTGTTTGTAGATAACTGTCTTAATATTTTGTTTTTGCTAATGAAGCTGGTTTCTTCCACCATTATGCTGACATTACTCACCTAGAAGTGTTTTCTGGATCTGTTGTGTACTGAGTTACTCTGGGACAGACCTGGCCATTCACTTGTCCTGTTTTTCCCTTGTATCATCCATGTTCTGTGTAGTTGCCCTGCTAGGACTTTCAGAGAAGAGTCCTTTCTGCATGTATCACAGGATGGATATCTCCCCAGCCATGGCAATGTAGGCTCTCAGGGCATGTGGTCCTGGTGGATGGCAGCTGTGGAAATTGTACTGTCAGACATTGTTCAGATCAAACCAGGATCCTGTCTTTACTCAACCGGAGCTTTTGTGTCATTGCTATTAGCCAAACCCATTTCTACTCTTCCTCTTCTAGCTTTGACACTGCCAACTTCTCAGTTCTGCTACTCATATCTGCTGTGGTTTCTAGCCCAGGAATATTTCCCCCTTCCTTGACTCCACATCTCACTTGTTCTCTCACTGCTCTTTCTGCAATATTTTTCAACATTGGCCCTCACATGTGATGTGAGATGTTCACAAATTTCTATGTTGACCTTGGGTAGCAGCTAATATATTGCAGTTGGATAGTAATGGTGTTAAATGCATACTTCTACCCAGCCTCACATCAGCAGCAGCCAAGGGTATGCAGGCAGGAATCCATTCGCAGAGGAAGTGCATTGTATGCTATGCCTCTCTTCGTTGTGTCATACCCTGTCCATACGTATCCTTCCTCTGGTGAGGTTTTCACCATTTTCTAACCTTAGAAGCCTAGTAATACAAAGTAGGCAGTCCTGCAACTGAATTTTCTTGTTTTGAGAAGCATTTCGTATATATGATGTTTTTCTCCCCTCCCTTTAGTCAACATGGACTTCACCAGCATTTCTTTGCCTTCAGGTTGCTGCTGTGGAGCAGACAATGTGGAAGCCCACCTTGAACAGAGCATTTATGTTGGAGTGTCACAGGCAAAGAATCTCAAGGCAGCTTCATCTTCACAGAAGAGACACCCATGTGAGAGTTGTGGCTCAGTTTTGAGAAACATTTTCCAGTTAGTTAAGCAACAGGGAACACAACACAGCCAGAAACTGCTGAGGTGTGGGGCATGTGCAAAACGATTTTATTTCAATGTGAACTGTCACCAGCACCAAGAGGTGCATATGAGAGAAAAATCCTTCAGAAGTAATGTGGACAAGGCCTCATTTGTGAAGAGCTCCAGAATCCATGTGTCACAGAAGACCTTTACCTTTGGGCAGGTTGAGGAGGACTTCCTGGCCAGCTTGGGACATCAGAAGCAACAGGACACTCATAAAGTAAAGGAGCCAAACAAAGGCACTCAGTGGGAAGCAACTTTACATAGCAGAAAATGTCTTTACATTTCAGGAGAATGTAAGAAAGCCTTTAAGTCCCAACATATACTTGTTCAGGACCAAGATGCCCATGCTGGAAGACAGTGTTTTGTGTGCAGTGAATGTGGAAAAACATTCAGATACAAATCCTCATTTGTTAAGCACTGCAGAATTCACACTGGAAAAACTTTTCATGTGTGTGGCGAAAATGAAAAATCCTTTAGTGGAAGCTCATCTCTCAGTCAGCATCGAAAAATTAATACAGGAGCAAAGCAGTACAAATGCAGCAAATGTGGAAAATCCTTAAGCCAAAAATCTGTTCTCATTAATCCCCGGGAACGGCACAATGGAGAAAACAGTTACGTGTGCAGTGAATGTACACAATCTTTTAGTCATAGCTCAGTGTTCATTCATTATCAGAGAGTTCAAACTGGGGAAAAACCTTATAAGTGTAATGACTGTGACAAATCTTTTACCTCTGTTGCTGCCCTCAGTTATCATCAGAGCTCTCACACAGGAGAAAGACCTTACGGGTGCAGTGATTGTGGGAAATCTTTTATCTCTAGGTCTGACCTCCGTTATCACCAGAGAGTTCACTCTGGAGAAAGGCCTCATGAGTGCAGTGAATGTGGGAAATCTTTTATCACTCGTACAGCTCTTCGTTATCATCAGAGAGTTCACACTGGAGAAAGGCCTTATGAATGTAGTGAATGTGGGAAGACCTTTACCCGAAGAAATAACCTCCTTATACATCTTAGAGTTCACTCAGGGTACAGGCCTTATGAGTGCAATGAATGTGGGAAATCTTTCACCTTTAGTTCTAGCCTCCGTTATCATCATAGAGTTCACACTGGAGAAAGGCCTTATGACTGCAGTGAGTGTAGGAAATCCTTTAACAATAGGTGGACACTTGTTCGACACCAGAGAATTCACACTGGGGAAAAGCCTTATGTGTGCAGTAATTGTGGGAAATCTTTTACTTGTAGTTCCACACTTCAGTATCATGAACGAGGCCACCTTGGAGAAAGGCCTTATGAGTGCAGTGAATGTGGGAGATCTTTTACTACTAGCTCTGCCCTCCGTTATCATCAGAGTGTTCACACAGGAGAAAGACCTTATGAGTGCAGTGAATGTGGGAAATCTTTTATCTCTAGATCTGACTTCCAGTATCATCAGAAAACTCACTCAGGAGAAAGGCCTTATGAGTGTAGTGAATGTGGGAAATCATTTATTCGAAGAAATAACCTCATTTTACATCAGAGAGTTCATACAGGAGAAAGACCTTATGTGTGTAGTGAATGTGGGAAATCTTTTAACAATAAGTCGACACTCATTCAACACCGGAGAGTTCACACAGGAGAAAAACCTTATGTGTGCAGTGAATGTGGAAAATCTTTTACCTCTAGCTCCACCCTCTGTTATCATCTCAGAACTCATGCAGGAAAAAGGCCTTATGAATGCAATGAATGTGGGAAATCCTTTACATCTAGTTCCACCCTAAATTACCATCAGAGAGTTCACACAGGAGAAAGGCCTTATAAATGCACTCAATGTGGGAAGTCTTTTACCTTTAGCTCAAGCCTCCGTTACCATCACAGAGTGCATACTGGAGAAAGGCCATACGAGTGCAGTGAATGTGGAAAATCTTTTAAGGATAGATCACAATTCACTAAACACCAGAGAGGTCACACTGGAGAGAGGCCTTATGAGTGTAATGAATGTGGGAAATCCTTTAGCCATAAGTCTTCCCTCTCAATACATCAGAGAATTCATAATAGAGAAAGGTCCTACAAGTGTAGTGAGTGTGGTAAATCTTTTACCTCTACCTCTGGCCTTGGTTATCATCGGAGACTTCACAGGGGAGAAAGGCCATATCAGTGCATTGAATGTGGGAAATCATTTACCAGTAGCTCGATACTTGTTCGACACCAGAGAGTTCACACTGGAGAAAGGCCTTATGAGTGCAGTGAATGTGGGAAATCTTTTGCCAGTAGTGACACTCTCTCTTATCATCAGAGAGTTCACACAGGAAAAAAGCCTTACAAATGCAATCAGTGTGGAAAATCTTTTGCCTCTGGTTCCACCCTCCGTTATCATCAAAGAGTTCACACAGGAGAAAGGCCTTATGAATGCAGTGAATGTGGGAAATCTTTTATCTGTAGTTCTAAACTTCGTTATCATCAGCGAGTTCACACTGGTGAAAGGCCTTACGAATGCAGTGAATGTGGCAAGTTGTTTAGGGATAGTTCCCAATTTAGTCAGCACCGGAGAGGTCATACTGGAGAAAGGCCTTTTGAGTGCAGTGAATGTGGGAAATTTTTTATGCGAAAATCTACCCTCTCTCAACATCAGAGAGTACACACTAGAGAAAGGCCTTAGAAGTGCTGGAAATGTGCAATTTTCTGTTCAGTGTAACAACCTTGGAGGAAATTCTTTGAGGAGCCATCTATCTGAACTGAAACTTACACATCTGAGTATGTACCGTGGGGTGATTCCCCATAAGTTTCATTAATGTGAGAAGGGTGTATAGATATGTTAACTCATTTGCCCAGGGCTCTTCCTAGGTTTATGTGGTTGCCAGTTTCTGTGGCTAAAGTTCTTTCCCCGTTCCCAACTGGGAAGTCCGTAGACTTATTGTGATAGTGAATGCTCTCATGTGCTCAGGCAAGCTGACCCTCTGGTCTCACACATATTGAGCTCTTAGGGGTCCTTTTATGAATAATTTGGACATGGACCTGGGTCCATGTGTTGGCACAGAGAATGTCATGACTTCTTAAAGCTTGCAGAGAAATGACTACATGTTCCAGGGATGTGTTGGTCTCCCATGATACTTGTGATGAAATTTACCAGCTTCCAGTTCATGAACTTGGGAAGTGCCTGCTGCACATTGCTTTGCCTTGTAAAATAGTGGAGGCCTTAGTCTTTTAATTCCCCTTTAACCTTGGTGATTTCTTTTTACTGTATGAGGTAGTTTATAAACTGATTCAACTGCTACAAGCATGAAGAGGTAAACAACTTTTTAGGGGGTATGATGACAGAAAATAACTTGCCAGTTTTGACCAAATTTACATGGTTGTCCACAGCTGCCCAGGAAGGACTGAACTGCTTTTTGGTCCTCATTTGGTTGCTGTGTGTTTTAGGAGTCTTAGAGACCCTGAGGAGGGGGCAGGTATGAGATCCTCATATGTAGCATGGATTTTCCTTCACCTAAAGCAGATATCGCAGATGATACCAGCACTGTTGAGAAGATAGGTTCCTCATGTCTACAAAGAGTCATATGCCCTGATGTCCACAATTCACTGGGCTAGCGTTAGTTGCTGACTGTATCTCGGGAAACCATAGTTGGTACAGAAACACTGGCCTAGTAGGGATTGGAGGAGACTGCAGCCAGTTAGATGTAATGTCCCTCTTCTAAATGTGCATCCAGAAATATTTCTGTGACAGTGACTGCATGATTACTGTGTACAGATTTTAGGACCCCCCCCAGGCATGTTTTTCTTGTATAGCTAACGTCACTGTCAGATAAAATAGTCAAAAGGTTTTGTAGGTTCCCTTAGCTTCTCAGCAATGTCCACCTCAAAGCCATTACTGCACAACAGGGAAGAAGAAAAGGGAGAACTGTATTCTAGGGATGTGGCTCTTGACACAGGCAGCATTCCTGTTTACTCAGGTGGAAAAGTTCATTAGTAACCGTATTTGCTGCCATTGAGGCAATACTGACCCCTAGAGGGCATGGGGAGAGAGAGATTGGGACATATATATTTTTTAATCGAACCATTTTATCAAACTTCACTACCAACTTACATGTCCTACCTGCATATATGTTTTTATTGACTCCATAGAGGAAGGGAGAGATATCAATGGTATCATAGCCATAATAGCATCTGTCACTCATGTTTGTTGCCTCGTGTTCTTTTAAATAATGCCTTTCCTGGGCCTCACAACCACCACTGATTTCTTCAGATCAGTTTGCATTCTATAGACTTATAGGATTGGAATTTAAAAGTTTATTATTTTCTTCCCTCCATTCTCTTATGCATAAGTTTTAGAGATACACCAGTGATGCTTATACGAATAGTTAAATCTTTAATTTCTGAGTAGTAGTTTCTTCTCTGAATATATACCACTATCCAGTGATCTCTGGGGTAATTGGGCTATTTTCAGTTTCTAGGCTGTTACAAATAATACTGCTCTGAACATTTCCATTACAATTCTTGATGTGGAGAGGTGTTTTATTTCGCCTTTGTTACAGCTCAAAGTGAAATGCTAAAATGACCTCAGACTAGGTGAGTGTTTAAATTTTAAGAAGCTGCCAAATTCTGGTTCAAAATGATTGTTCCTGTTTGCATTCCCACCACCAGTTTATAGGAGTTCCAGTTCCTCCACATCCCTGCCAGTACTTCATATGTTCAGTCTTTAATATTATTTCTTTCAGTTCATGTGTAGTGCTATCAGTGTGGTTTTAGCTGCATTTCCCCAGTAATTTGTGACTTTCAGGATTTTCTCATGTTTATTTGCCACCTGTATATCTTTTTTGTTGTTAATCTTCACCTGAGGATATTTTTCCGTTGATTTTTTAGAAAGAGTGGGAGGGAGGGAGACGTGGATTGGTTGCCTCTTGCACATGCCCCATCAAGGTCTGGGGATCGAACCTGCAACCCAGGTAGGTGCCCTTTACCAGGAACTGAACCCACGACCCTTTGGTGTGAAGGCTGACACTCTTAACCACTGAGCTACACTGGCCAGGGCCCACCTGTGTATCTTTAGTACATTTCACTTCATACCATTAGCCTATTTTATAAGTTCCAACTATTTCCTTCTCATTTACAAATAAGATCCTGAGACAACAAACAGGTTAGAGTTTTACTTGTTATATATCATCAGCACCCTTTTTCTGTATGTGCATTGTTTCTAAATTCCCTTATTTTCCTCAAATTTTTTGTGTCAATATCATGTCCACCAGCACCATAGATGTTTAGGTTTTAGTCTATGTATTGACGGTCTTCATCACTCAAGTTAGGCTTTGTCGTGTGCCTGTTCCCAAACTGTAAGTTCTCCCACTGCGAACATGACATGCTCAGAGAAGGGGGTGAAAAATCCCACTGGTGTCCCATTGTGTTAGGTGGAAAGCTAAACTCTGTACAGGAGACTTTGCAAAGCCAAACACAAGAGATGGGGTGCCAGCTGGTTGGAGGTTGCAGAGCCTCCACAGACGAGACAATACAGGCATGCCAGAGTGGAAGGAGCTGCTTGTACATGTTGGGGTGTCTTGGAGACGCCAAATGGCCTCGTCTAAGTACCAGAGCAGACACGCTGTTTCTGAGTTGTTTCCTCTCACCCCACCCATACTTACTTTTAAATGAGTTTCACCTTCCAAACAGTCTGGGTGATTTTAATCCCTTTCTGTAATCGTTGGTCTCCAACAGGTGTTTACCTTCTGTGCATATTACAACCAATTGGGGATGCCTTTCCAGACACCCTGACCCCAGGGAGACACACCGGGCACTGGGGTCACTGCTTATCTCCCCATTTAGGGGCAGCCTCTGAGAAGAGGGCCAAGGAGCAACTGGGTGTGTGGTCCTCTAGGTACCCCATGAGGGGCGGGGCTCACAACAGGATCTCCCTGCTTTTACATCCGTGAGGGCACCTGGTGTGTCCTTTGCCTCTGTGGATGCAGGTACTTCAAGTCATAGTGCCACATGTGATCTGAGGCCACAACTTGCAGGGCACAGCAAGGAATGGGGCAAACAAGGTGGAGTGCAGGATGAGAGTTGCTGGAGACCACAGTGAGGAGCCACAAACCCACTGTGCCTGTGAGGAGGGCATAGGCAAAATGGGGCAAATAGGGACACAAAAACAGTTGCACTCCCACAGAAGTGATTTAGAAAACCTGCCTGGCTGAATTCCCACTTGTGCCTGTGAAGTATTATTTCTCACCCCTCATTTCTAAGGCAATACGCAGCCCAGGTCTCTTAGGGATGTGCAAAAGCCAGGCTCCAACTCCTCAGTGGTTCAGTTTTCCAAAATACATTGTTAAGGGAAAAAGTGTCAGTTCAGATTGATAAAGTGTCACTTCATTGTACTAAGGAAGACTATAGGCACATATTTGGACACCCACACACAGCAGTCTGTGCCTGTGTAAAAGCCATTTAAATGGACCCTGTCCTTCATGTTGCCTTTCTCCAGGAGGTAGATGATTAGAGATGCTTTTTACTCTTGATATTTATAAAAGCATAATAATCATTAATAAACAATAGAAATGTGGACATGCTATACCTTAATTTTTTTAAATTAAGATAATGTACCCTGTGAAATTTGAACTTCAGTTGTGAAGTTCCTCAGCTGTAGAGGAGATTCAAGTTAGTCACATTGTTTCAGCTGACCCACCCACAGCATCCAGAATGAGATGCAGTTCCTTTTACTGTGCATCTCCACCACCTGAAGGTGCCTCAAAACACTGGTTCTTGAGACTGCAGGTTTGGTTTGGGGCTGAGGAGTAGCATTTCTAATGAGTCCCTAGGTGGTGCTGATGGACAGGATTGGTGCAGAGGTGAAACTGTAGAAGTTGACTAGGGAACAATAGGCTGCTTCCCTCCAGTTCCACTTCATGGGACTGTCGATGTGCATACACAGACCAGTGCAGCTAAGGTTCCTAGTGGACACCCTCTGCACTGCCGAGGAGTTCTCTGTGGGCTCCAGACACTGAAGCCACCTGCTCACCTGCTGCTTTGGTTTGGAACTGCAATTAAACAAAGCGGCCATTAGACAGGTGGCTCCATGAGCAAACTGAAATGTTTAATTGTAAATTCTTGTAAATGCCTCCATGGTAAGAAATTGAAACCTAAGAGCAACCTGTTACAACCAACCAACTAGGCTCTCCCAAATGAGGCAACTCCTTAAGTTTTGGCCAATTTTCTTGTTTTACTTCCCTTCTGCTCGAGAAAAAGCCTTTCCCCTAGTCTGGTTAGGTGCTGCCTGACTGCAACTGATACTTGCTCAAACAAGCTCTTCAAAATTTTAAGTTACCTCAGTTTATCTTTAAACAACAGATTTTCCACCCTTTGCTAAAAGTATGTGTATAAATATATATATTCACAGGGCTCATCCTTGCCAAAGGAGCTCTTAATAAGGAGGCCTTCCTTATCTTTTATAATACTATTACATCTCCCTATTAATGAGCTGGGTGCTGAAAGTTTGATCTCTGCCATCAGGTGTGTGATGGTGACTGTTGGGGAAATACAAAGTCTTTCCCAGCCCAGAAATCCTCTCTACAAGGGTAGTAGACACAGAAACAGCCCTGTTATTAAGTGATCATTAAGGCAGAGTTTGATGTGCATCACAGGCAACCCAATAAATTCCAAAGACAAACCTAACCCTCCGTATAGCTGAGCAGGAAGACCCATTACATGCACAGATACAAAATAACTAGTCCTCAAGTGAGAGGACTTGACAGCACCATTTGTCACACACAGCTCATCCTAATTCAACTGGAGGTCAAACTCGCAATTCTGGTGAATCGGGTGACGCTGCAACCAACTGAATTACCCTGCCAGGGGCCAAGTTGTCCTATTTTAAAAACTGATATGAAATCCATTTACTTTTCCCACCCGCTTCATGATGGGTCACACCATCAACCCTCATCTCAGTGTCTTGTAGATGGAACCAACAAGGGTGTCTGTACAGAACCCTGGGTGTGGGATTCTATGAGGCCAATCCCTGGGGGCAGGACTCTTGTCCACTGCAGCTGCGGAGACAGGACCACTGTCCCAGTGGGTCTGGAAGGCAGAGCTTCAAGCCAAAGAAGATTATTCATGAGCCATGTCATCTCATGAAGTTTGCTTTGCTAGATTTTGAACTTGCTTTGGGCACCTCTTTCCCTTTATTTCTTATTTCCAGTTTTTGGAATGAAAATACCCATCCCATGTGTAGGGGAGCTCAGAGGTGGGATTTGTCTCTAGCAGTAAAGGTGTCTGGGAACTGTTGGGCTCTCTGTTTAACCTCCTGTGACTGGTTAACTCTGTAGCCTCATGTTTGGCTGACTACCCAGAAAGCTGGAATGTTGCCCAAAGAGAAATGCCAGGCCCCACAAAGGAGGTGAATGAATGCATAGAGTGTGGGTAACTGATTGATGTTACCTGTTAACTTACAAATACATTGTTCTTTCTGGTGGTCTACATGACTACCCACCCTATGCTTTTACTATTAACCCCTGTAAAAAAGAAGTCCTGTCTTGGGAGGGTGTGGACTTGTTCCCAGCTGGCCCCCCCTGGGAGCAGCTGCTTTCCCCGTGTATGTAAGTTTCTCCTATTAAAGCCCATGTGAATTTGAATGAGACTACATGTCGGTTCTTCGGAATCAATCCTGAACTTAGACTTTTCTGGCTTTCCTTCAACATTTGGCACTGTAAGCAGGATTCTGAAGAACCCACGAAAGTCGGGCAAGGTGGGGGGGAGGGAATGGGGTCCACTGTGGGAAGTTCCAGGATGGCCAAGTACTCATGCCTTGGGTCAGTTGGCACAGGCATTGGAGGCTTAAGGACCAATGCCTGAGTATGGAGACACCCTGAAAACGCCTGCCAGGGTGGTAGAGTTATGGAAGTGGCTGGAGATAAGAAAGACGGGAAGCCCACAGTGGCCATGTAGCTGGGTCCTCCTTCGTGCATGGAGGTTCTACTTGGAAGAGGCACTAGCACTAGCCGCTAGCAGTCCTCATCGTTTGGAGGAGGACCTCCGAGCAGAAAGGGAACCCCACCTGGCACAGGTGGCTGCTACTGAAGGACTCTCGCAACGTCTGTGGGGTAGTAATTAGAAGGTAGGAACCTTGGCCTGCAGGGCAGTGGATCTGAAAAGAAAGCGAGTGTCACACTGCGGGGACGGGCGGACAAGGTCAGGGCAAATTGGGACCCAAGACTTGGGAACCCACAGAGGATTCATCTTTTTTTTCCTGGAGGAAGGGGGGGGGACATGACAGAGATACTGGACTTACAAACACTACCGATACTAATAACCAGAATTAAGACCAAACAGCCGCCCTGCTCAGTGTGGTTCAGTGGTTGGAACATCGGTTTGGGTACCTAAGTGTCATGAGTTCAATTCCTGGTCAAGGGCACAAACCTGGGTTTCAGGTTGGATCCCACATCGTTGGGGATTGCTGAAGGCAACTGGTTAATGTTTTTCTTGCTCTCTCTCCCCCACTTCCACTCTCTCTAAAAATCAATGGAAAATATCCTCAGGTGAGAACTATGTACCACAAAAGTGGTCACATCTGAGTGATGAGGGTGGGGGGAGGCTGTGGGAGGAAAGGGATTGTTTAGCAGCTTTGGCAATGTTCTGGGTTTAAAAAGAAAAGATTAAGACAAAACAGCCAAGGAAACCGCAGGCAGGACTCAAAATTTAATAAATCTAGGAGCTTTTCTCATAGCAACATAAATTTATATTAAGTGAATCATAGTAACGTAAATTTTGAGGGAACAAGCAAGAAACATCTGTTACGGGACAGACAGGACACATACGTGCACATGACGGGACAGACACATATGTTTCTCATCGGCTGCCCGTGGCCAATCTGCCTATACTACGGTGACTCACAGGACTGTTAGTGCCAGGCAGGCTGGGAGAATACACACTGCGAAAGGGTTAACACTGTGTCGAAACTATGGCAACCCCGTGATTAGACGAGATTTGATGGGAAGATTCCTCCAGATGTTGATGACATTGCCTCTGATGATTGAGGATGATGTTGTCAACTTCTTTGTCCACACAGACGATAACTCCAATTCTACCTTTGCACACACATCCACGACCAACAATCCTCGCAAAAACTGAATTTCAGAGGAAGAGTAAGGAAGTTACAGTACACAGAAGTGACCTCAAGAGTCAATGATACGGATGTTGTATATGTCCCAAATCCAAGATGAGGATTAGAACAGCGATCAAAGCAAAATAATTGCAACACTGGTGACACACATGCACTGATAGTTATTAAAACTTAAGTGGTGTGACATCCTAAAAATGGCAACTACAAAGAAAAGAGAAGTTGATGCAGTGTCAATCTTTCTAAGAGAAATGGTTTGTGGCAATGTGTTAGCAGTAATGAAAAAAGCCAATCTGAAGCATCATTACAGTTTAAAACATGCTCAGCTCAATGAATTGGGAGCCCAAATGTGTTAGGGTAAAATCAATGCTCTTCAGCTGAGTTTGGAATCACAACAAGCAGCTTTCACTGGGCCTTGTTGTGACAGAGACGTTATTCAGATGAGTTATGTAGTGAGTGAGTTAATCGCAAAGAAGCTGAGGCCTCATGCAGAGGGAGACTTTGTGAAAGTGCACGGTGGCTGCTGCGGAGTTGTTACCACCAGACAAAGTAAAATCATTTCAGTGTTAGTTTGTCTGAGAACCATCTCAGGTTGGAATATTGACTTAGCACAAGATGTTGAAAAAACACTGAAGGATTCTGCAGGAGATTTCCAATATTTCTCTCTGGCTTGTGACGAGACAATGGACATAGCAAATACTGCCCAACCAGCCATTTTTGTTCATGGGATAACTGCAGAGTTTGACACACAAGAGGAACTGTTAGGTAAACTTCGCGAAACTGTATGGCTCATGAATAATCTTCTTTGACTTTTAGCTCTGCCTTTCGGACCCACTGGGACAGTGATCCAGTTTCTGCAGCCGCCGTGGACAAGACTCCTGCCCCCAGAAATTGGTCTGGTGTAAATTTCACACCCAGAGCTTAGTACAGAGGCTCTGGTTGTTTCTATCCACAAGACATTGAGGTGAGTTGTTGCTGGTGTGGTCCACTGTTGTGGTAAAAAAAGGAAATGGATTTTCTATCAGTTTTAAAATAGGGCAGCCCACATTTTCTGACAGTGATGGTGAGAAAAAGGTAAGAGGGATGACACCAAGATTCCCTGTGTTAGCATCTAAAAGAAAGGAGGCTCTGTCAGTGAAATGGGTGGTCAATAGTGGGAGTACTTTTTTTTTTTTTTAATATATCTTTATTGATTTCAGAGAGAGGAAGGAACAGGGAGAGATAGAAACATCCATGAGAGAGAAACATTGATTGGCTGCCTCTTGCATGCCCCCTGCTGGGAATCGAGCCCACAACCTGGGCCTGTGCTCTCATCTGGAACCAAACCGCAATCTCCTGGGTCATAGGTCAATGCTTAACCGCTGAGCCACACCTGGCCAGGCCGGGCTGTACTTTTTATTTTCTTTCTTTCCTTTCTTTCCTTTCTTCCTTTCTTCCTTTCTTCCTTTCTTCCTTTCTTCCTTTCTTCCTTTCCTTTCTTCCTTCCTTCCTTCCTTCCTTCCTTCCTTCCTTCTTCTTTCTTTCTTTCTTTCTATTTATTTATTTATTTATTATTTATTTATTTATTTATTTATTTATTTATTTATTTATTTATTTAAAATATATCTTTATTGATTTCAGAGAGGAAAGGAGAGGGAGAGATAGAAACATCAATGATGAGAGTCATTGATCGGCATGTGCCCTGACCGGGAATCGAATCCTGATTGCCTGGATCCTAGGTCGATGCTCAACGGCTGAGCCACGCCCTGCCGGGCAGGGCTGTACTTTTTAATGGGGTTATCAGTAGTTGTCTATTTGGCCATGTTCAGTGTATGAGATATTTCAGAGAACAAAGGTGGATGATTACTTAGTACAGAGATGGACACACAGGTGTGGAACTATAAGAAGGGCTTCTGGATGAAAGGTGGTTGACAACAAGTGAAACGGAGCTTTTAGTAACATTGGTTTATTTTGAATACATTCATGAAATGAGTCTTTCTGCTTAGTTATACAGAGGAGTGAGATTTGTCTGTCTTTGGAATTTCTTAGGGGATTGCCTATGATGCACATCAAGCTGAGGTTTAAAGATTATTTAATAACAAAACTGTTTCTGTCACTACTACCCTTGTAGAGAGGATTTCTGGGCTGGGAAAAGATTGTTTGTATTTCCCCAACAGTCACCATCACACATGTGATGGTAGAGACCAAACCTCTAGCACCCAGCTCATCAGTAGAAATGGGATGTAACAATATTGCATGGAGAGGTAATGAAGGCCGCCTTACTGAGAGCATCATTAACAAGCAGGAGCCATGTGGTATTTTTTTTGGAAGGAGGTGGTACTCTGTCCTGTTTAAACAGGAACGTTAAAATTTTGAAGAGTTTGAGAAAACAATTCGAGACAGGCAGCACCTAACCAGGCTAGGGGAAAGGATTTCTTTGAGCAGAAAGTAAAGCAAGAAAATTATTTAACTGGCTATAGTTTAAGGAGTTGCCTCATTTGGGAGAATCTGGTTGGTTGTGATGGGTTGCTCTTAGGTTTCAATTTCTTACCACTGAGGCATTCACAAGAATTTTCTTGGGTTAGGTTTTCCAGTTTGCACATGTAGGCTGCATGGCATTGGAGCTACCTCAGTCTAATTGCTTCCTTGTTTAATTACAGTTCCAAGGCAAAGAAGCACGTGGCTTCAGTGTCTGGAGCCCTCCCAATGCTCCTTGGCAGTGGAGGTCCTAGGAATTGAGCTCTTTTGTCACTGAGAACCTTGGTTCACTGCAGACACTCAGAGGGTATCCCCTAGAAACCTTAGCTGCACTGCTGAGTATGCACATCAACAGCCCCATGGACTGGAACAGGAGGCTGCCGTTCCCTTGTTAACTTCTCAAGGTTTCACCTGTTCAGACCCTGTCTATCAGCACCACCTAGAGACTTATTAGAAATGCTATGTCTCAGCTCTAAACCCAAACCTATGAAGTCACTTTGGGGGTGAGACCCAACAATCAGTGCTTTGAGGCACCTTCAGGTGGTGTAGATGCAGAGAAAAAGGAGTTGCATCTCTTGCTGTGGTTCCCGTGGTCAGGGTACCTGAGATCATGTGACTAACATGAGTCTCTTCTACAGCTGCAGGATTTCACAGCTGAGGCTACAAAGGTTCAGCAGGGCATGTTAATTATATATATATTTATATTTATATATTTATATAAAATGGCCAAATATCTACTTTTTATTAATGAATTGTAAGCCATTTATAAACATCAAAGGTGAAAAGTCTTTAATCATTGTAAGTCCTGAAGAAAAACAATGTTTGAAGACAGTGTACATTTATTTATATAGTTTTATTTTTAAAATATCTTTTATTTCAGAGAGAGTAAGGAAGGGAGAGAGAAACATCAATGAGAGTCATTGATCGGCTGCCCCCTGCATGCCCACCACCAGGGATCAAGCCCACAACCTGGGAATGTGCCCTGACCAAGAATCGAACCTCGATCTCCTGGATCATAGATCAATGCTCAACTGCTGAGCCATTCAGGCCAGGTGACAGTGTCCATTTAAATTGCATTTTCCACATGCATAGGTTGCAACTTAAACCTAGGAAGACCCATGGGCAAGTCAGGAAGTATAACACATTACACATGCTTCCCATATAAATGAAACTATGGGGATCTCCCCACTATGCATATTCAGGTATATGACTTTCAATACAAACAGATGGTTCCTCAAAACAGTTTCCTCCAGGGTTGTTACTTGGAAAAGTTGCCCATTCCCAGCACATTTAAGGCCTTTCTCTAGTGTGAACTCTCTGATGGTAACAAAGTAGAACAACAGTTAAGAGATTTCCCACATTTACTGCACTCAAGGCATTTCTCCAGTGTGAACTCTCTGGTGTCGAACCATTTTCGACTTCCTGCTAAAAGATTTCCCACACTCATTACACTGATAAAGCCTTTCTCCTGTGTGTACTATCTGATGATTACTGAGGTTGAATCGACATGAAAATGATTTCCCACATTCACTGCACTGATAAGGCCTTTCTCCTGTGTGAACTCTCTGGTGTTGAACCATTTTTGACTTCCTGCTAAAAGATTTCCCACACTCACTACACTGATAATGTCTTTTTCCTGTGTGAACTATCTGATGGTTACTGAGGTTGGAACGACATGAAAACGATTTCCCACATTCACTGCACTGGTAAGGCCTTTCTCCTGTGTGAATTCTCTGGTGGATAATAAGATAATCTCTTTGGGTAAAAGATTTCCCACATTCATTGCACTGATAAGGCCTTTCTCCGGTGTGAACTCGCTGGTGTCGAACCATTCTCGATTTCCTGCTAAAAGATTTCCCACATTCACTGCATTGGTAAGGTCTTTCTCCTGTGTGAATTCTCTGGTGTATAGTAAGATTATTTCTTCCGGTAATGGATTTCCCACATTCACTGCACTGATAAAGGCTTTCTCCTGTGTGAATTCTCTGGTGTATAGTAAGATTATTTCTTCCAGTAAAAGATTTCCCACATTCACTGCAGTGATAAGGGCTTTCTTCAGCATGAATTCTCTGGTGTAAAATAAGATAATTTCTTCGGGTAAAAGATCTCCCACATTCACTGCATGGATAAGGTCTTTCTCCTGTGTGTACTCTCAGATGACTACTGAGTTGGGAACCACTTGAAAACGATTTCCCACACTCACTGCACTGATAAGGCCTTTCTCCTGTGTGAATTCTCTTGTGTATGGTAAGATAATTTCTTCGGGTATAGGATTTCCCACATTCGTTGCATGGATAAGGTCCTTCTCCTGTGGAATAATAATAGCACACTTTAATACTCATCTTTCTGGTATGGGTAGATCATCCAGATAGAAATCAATAAGGAAATATTTGATTTGAACAACACTTTATACCAAATAAATTTAACAAATATACATAGAACATTCTGTGCAGCTAAAGCAGAATATACATCTCAAGCAACAGAGAACATTCTCTAAAAAAAGAGATCATAAATTTCATTGTAAGTCTTAACAAATTTAGTAGGCCTGAAATCATATCAAGAATCTTATCTGACCACAAGGGTTTGAAAGTAGAAAACAGTAAAAGAATAAAAGCTGAGAAGTTCAGAAATACGTGGACATTAAACAATACATTAATGAACAATCAGTGGGTTAAAGTAAAAGAAAAAATAAAACTACCGTGACAAACAACATTAGAAACAAAACATGTCAAAACTTTAAAAATGCAACAGCACCCTGGCGGGCGTAGCTCAGTGGTGGAGCACTGACATATGATCCAGGAGATCAAGGTTTGATTCCCAATCAGGGCACATGTCTCGGTTGTGGCCTGATCCCTAGTAGGTGTCCTGCAGGAGGCAGCCGATCAATGACAATCTCTCATCATTGATGTTTCTCTCTTTCCCCCTCTTCCTTTCTCTTTCTGAAATCAATATACATACACATACAATCACACACATATATTTCTTTTTTAAAAAAAAGGAAAGTAGAACTACCATATAAGCCAGCAAGCCTACTTCTTGGCATATATCCAAAGAAAATGTAATCAGAATTTGGAACACATATCTACACTCTGTTTGCTGCACCATTCTTTTTTTTAACTCTCACCTGGGGATATTTTTTCCATTGCTTTTCAGAGAGAGTGGAAGGGAGGAGGGAGAGAGAGTGGAAGGGAGGAGAGAGAGAGGGAGGGAGAGAGAGAGAGAGAGAGAGAGGGAGAGGGAGAGAGAGGGGGAGAGAGAGAGATGTGAGAGAGACACATCAATTGGTTGCCTCCTGCATGTGTGGAGCCTGCAACTGAGGTATGTGCCCTTGGCTGGAATTGAAGCCGTGACCCTTCAGTCTATGGGCTGACACTTTAACCACTGAACAAACCAGCTAGGGCCACTGCACCATTCTTACACTTAATACACAAGATATGGAAACAACCTAAGTGTCCATCCATGGATAACTGGATTAAAAAAAGGGATGGTACACACACACTCTGAAAATATTATTTAGTCATAAAAAAGTAAAAAATTCCCACACTAAAATAAATAAAATAAAAATAACAAAGAAAAAAAAAATGAAGAAAATCCTGCCACATGTGACAATTGCATGAACCTGGAGGGCATTATGCTAAATGAAATAAGCCAGTCACAGAAAGATAAATACTGCATGATATCACTTAGATGTGGGATCTAAACTAAATTATACTTGAACTCACAGAAACGGAGTAGAAATTCAGAGCCAGGGAAACAAGGAAATGGGGAGTTATCGATCAAAAGGTACAAACCTTCAGTTTGGAGATGAATGTTATGAGGATCTACTGTAAACCACAGTGATTACAGTTAATAATACTGTAATATACACTTAAAAGTTATTGGGAGAGTAATTTCTTAAGTGCTATTATTTTCTTAAAAAGTGATTATATCAGGTGATGGAAGTTTTCATTAACTTGATTATGGCAATTATTTCACCATATACACATATAACAAATCATCACATCCTACACTTTAGGTATATACCATTTTGTCCTGGCCGCTTGGTTGGGTGCTGTCCCATGCAAGGAAAGGTTGCAGGTTTGATTCCTTTCGGGGTTGAGGGCTCCATTCCCAGTAGAGAGTGTATAGGAGGCAGCTGATTGATGTTTCACTCTCATATTATGTTTCTCTCTCTCCCTTCCTCTCTCTCTCTAAAACTCAATAAAATAGCCTTTAAAAATGGTAAATAATAAATACCATTTGACAGATCTGCAACACTGGGATAAAAAGAAAAGGAAAAAGACCTAAAAAAACTTTATAAACCCTGCACCAGGGTCTTGAAAAACAGCCCAACCCTGGCTGGTGTGGCTCAGTGGTGTGAGTGTCCACCAGAGCACTGGAGGGACTCGTGTTCAAGTCCCCGTAAGGGGCATGTACCTGGGGTTTGGGTTTGCTCCCTGCCCAGTGCGGGAGGCAGCCAGTCAATGTCTCTCTCACACATCAATGTTTCTCTCTCCGCCCCCTTCCCTCGCTCCCTTCCACTCTCTCTGAAAAGAAATGGAGAAAATATCCTAATGTGAGGATTAAAAAAAACAAAACCCGATGGTCACAGTGACCATGACAGTATCTGTATTCCTGGCACACCCAGGCCCTAGGAAATGTCAGCCAAAGAGGTACCATGGACCTGGACACACGGACCTGGCCAGACAGGGCAGGCCTGGCGAAGGCACAGGCTCCTGCCATCCTCTCCGACAAGAGCGCAGTGCAGCAGGTGTCGGCAGACAGGACCGGGCCGCGCCTCGTGCAGTCGCCCGTCAGGTGGGGGTCTTACCCAGAGAGGCCGTCAGGGCGAAGTTCTCCAGCATCACGTCGTGGTACAGGCGCCTCTGGGCCTCGTCCAGGAGCCTCCACTCCTCCGCGGAGAAGTACACGGCCACGTCGGGGAAGGTCACGCGGCCCTGCGGGCGGGGCGGGCAGCGTCCGCGTCGTCCCCCGGAGCCTCGGGTCCCTCCCCGCGCGTCCTCCAGCGCTCCCGCCCCAGGGCTCCCACCTCGGAGGGGACGCGGGCCCCG